CCCCCCCCCCCCCCCCCCCTGCCATTAAAAGCGGCATGAGTGGCTTCCGCAGAAGGTAGAGTCACACCCAAACCCCAGGCGCCAGCAACACAACACAGGTCCCCACGTGGGGAGGGTGACCAGAACGCTGTCTGCAAAATCAAGACGTGTCTCTGAGCCAGGAGTCCAGAGATCAGAGGAGACGGCTCAGCACCAGCCAGCAGGAGGAGGAAGAGACAGAGAGGATCCTGGGAGAATGAGAAGAGCGGCCCCAGAGCCCGAGCCTTGGGCAGAGGCACACAGGGGGGGTCTGCACATTCTCCGGCTAAGCCTGAGCCTGAGAACAGGAATTCAGACACAGTGAATGAGAGAGGAGGGTCCTCAGCTTCAAAAGTCAAAGAGCTCTGAATCCTGTAAGAAAGCAGGGTTAAAGGTCAAAGGTCTCCACCACACATTCCAGGGCCTTTGAAGGACCGGTGGTGGGACAAGCTGAGCAGACTAAACCAGTCTGTTTACCGAGGCCTCCTGGCAGGACAGAGCTGCAAAGCCCACTGAATGGGGACCCTGGGACGATCCTACCAAAGTGCTGGGACCCAGAGACTGCAGAGGGCACGGGGCGACGAACTTTAAGGTTTACATTCAATTTTATTTTCTTTCTGTGAGAAGAAACTGTAAAACATTCTAAGACAGTGGGATCACAGGAATTTCCCGATGCGCTGTTTCATTCATAAAGATTTATCTGAAAATGCTAGGGTGGTGTTTGTTTTGTTAGTCTTTCTTTAAAAAATAAATAAGTAAAATAAACCAAAAACATGTGAAAAGCATTTCCCCTGAAGGAGATGATATAGGTAAGAATGAGCCCTAAATCAAAGAACCAAGTTCTAAGACCCTCCTAAACCAATTTCATAATATACACAACATTAGACCCGAGGGCAGTGAGCAGACCAACATCCTGCTCATAAAAATCATCTTAATGTCACTGTCTGAGAAAGGCCAGCAGTAAGAGACCCTGGCAGCAGACAGACAGACCAACAAGATGCAGCCTGGCTGAGCCTGTCTGCCCAGGTTTTATGACACAGAGAACAGGAGCTCGAGCTGACTGCTTGCTTCATGACATTTAGCAAACTGGAAAGATGCCCCACTCCTGGCCGCCGCCACCACCACCCACCCCCTCGGCCCTATTCCTGCATGAAAATCTCGAGGATTTCACTATTCCGTTTGCTGGACAATTAGGGAAATCAGAGAAAGGGCTTGTTCAGGTTTTCATTCCAACATGAAGGCTAAGCGAGCCCGTGAAGCTTTCCCATCCACTCCGGAGGAATGATAAGCCTCAAGGCCGTCCCTGGAAAGGGCGTCTGAGCAACTGGAATGTTTGAGACACAGTCCCCTGGTGAGAGGTGGGGGTAGGCGGTCAGTTTATCAGGATCTTCAGACGGACGGAAGAGCTGACCAGGAATCCTCGAGGGCTTCCTAATTCTCTCTCGGCCCAGGTACGCAGCCCCGGGTCACACACCCACAGCTGTTCCCCCTTTTCTCAGGGCCGCCTGCCAAGCTAAGGACACACACTGTCATCGGTCACTCGTACACTTTGAGTGGGACCTATCACTTCAGTTCACGGAGGCGAAAGCATTTTGCAGATTCAAAGGTACTAAATTATTGTCACTATTCCAGTTACTGATTTATTGTCAGCAGCAAAGCTTTTCATTACTATACGAAGTTAAGGATGACCATGAAAAACATTTCACGGAAGTCTTGCAGCCGGCCAAAAACACCATCTCTACGATGCTCGCTAGTTATTTCTCAGCTCCCACCATGCCAAAAAATGCTGGCACTTCCGATGTGAACACCGGAGAACGCTTGATTCTCCTCATTTGCGGCTTAGACCATAGTCCAGTGTCTCTCCAGATCCAGTTCTAGCTCATGAGCTGCAGCATTTGCAAGGTTAACTTAGCAGGGACGTTTTAAACAGTGATGCAGGAATG